CTGGTTTTCGCCGGAGCTTCCGCCTCAGCAGGCGAGACAAGAAGACCAACAAGTCCATGTATGAGTGTAAGAAGAGTGAGCAGTACGACATGGCTGACGTGCCCACCTACGAGGAGGTGACTCCCCACCGCAGGCAGAGCGGGGCCAAGCACAGGCTGGTGGTCCTCGTCGGTGAGTAACACACGACATGGCAGAGCTGGGCCAAGCTGCTGTCCTAGTCAGTGAGTAACTGACTACTGCCACCATGGGCCACTGGGGATTGCTGAGCTGTTGAACTTGGCAAGGCAGAGGCCATCGTTTAAGTCTAAAACTGGTTTCCCCATAGAGAGAGAGTGTGGAGCTCCAGTCAGTCAGAGTTCCAGGCTCAGCCTTGCCCTCACACAGCCATAACCCAGAAACATGCTCCCGCCCACACGCAAGCCCCCTTAACTTTTAATGCCCTGGTGGAATATGACAGCACAGGGCTAGCTGGCTGGGGATTTATTCATATTTAGTGCTTTTCATTTACAGCACCTTGCTCAGCTCTAAATGTCCCTCTTTTTGTTATACTTGACAGAATTGTTAACACTTGCCTTTAAGGCTGGTATTACAAAGTCCTCCAGAAGGCTTATTAAGTGCCAAAATCTTGAAATGAAGTTAGCTTTGTTTTTATTCCTTCTTTTGTAGTTTAGAGAAAAGCATTGTGCCAACGACTGGTGGAACAATAACGTTAAGCCCAGGTGCAACTGAATTAAGACCTAAAACCTGAATATAAATATTGGATCTATTATTGCAAATTACACGAATAATGAATGTATTCCTCACACGCCGCTTTTTCTTCTCAAGGTTAGCAGTGCTACTGATCGGTGCAGCTGCATATGAATCGTTCTTCATTCTGGAGATATTGCTCACTTTCTATTTTATGCTCTTATTAAGAGAATAAAAAGTGAGGCTTGTGTTGCAGTATGTCTGTTTAGCATGATTGACCAGGCCTTGGTACGGTGACACACAGTGGTATGGACTTCATCATAACGTGTTGCTAATTAGCTAGCCCATTTTCTTGCCAGGCAGCATGTCAGGCTGTGCAACACAGCGGACGCCACGGCCTCTCTCTCTCTACAATGCACATAACCTCTCCTCTGTCTCGCTAATGTAAATATTTTCAATTCACTTCTGTAATTTGGACGACAACCTATGGACAGTTTCACACCTAACGAAGCGAAAGGCCAAGGAAAGATCTGTTTTATGTTTCCTCTTTATGCTTTCCTTTCCTTTTTCTCTCTGGAGTTCTCTCTCTTTTTCTTATTATGAGTTACTCATGAGCAATTCTCTCTCTTTCTCTCTCCTCTCTCTCTCCCTCCCACCATCTCTTTCTCCATTGTAAACGTCAGGCGCCTAGTGGTCCAGGAGAAAGTGAAGTAGGCGTGTAGGTCCTCCAAACAGGACCAGGTTTTCTGTGCTTGCCTTGGCCCCCTTCCTCACTCCTCTTTCCACTCCCCTCACATAAACACACACACACACCACACACACACACCAGGAAGGTCCCTGGAGCATCCAACGTCCCTGTAGTTGTTTATCCATCTATGTGGATGAAAAGGAGTCAACAAATGATCTCCAACCAACAAAGTAGACCCTATTATCTACTTACTCTTATTAAAATGGATGTGGAGGACCGAGAGATTGTTTATCTGTTTTTATACATTTTTATTTTATTTTTCAGGCATGGTTCGTAGTAGGGTGAAATGGCCTTAGTGTTCCGCATATAATTGTTGTCGTATTTGTTGTTGGAGGAGGCTGAGGTTACCCTAGCCCTCTGGATGCCTAGCTGGCTGGGTGGTGGAGGTTGGATAGGACTCACATCGCCCCTCCACTCCCCCTCAGCTCTAACGCTATGTGATGTGCTCTCCGTTTGGCCTGGAAGTTATTAAGCTCCAGATATTAAAGGCTGTTTCTCTAATGAGGGCAGTAATGCAGTCTGACACTTTTACTGGCACTGCAACCTGCCTGAGGAGAGAGGGCAAGAGCACCAACCCACCACACCGCGCTCACTCCCAAAGGAGGGAGGGAGAGAGAGAGAGAGAGAGGGGAGAGAAGGGAGGAGGGGCGGCGGCATAGAGAGAGGAGTGCTGGAGCACCGACCCAACATGCTCCCTCCTTCCCGATGGCTTCCAGAGAGAGAGGAGACTCAATTTAACACAATACACTATACCAATCAAGTATAATTCAGAAACATTTGCAAAGAAATATGCTTTTTTATTGGGGCATTTTGTTTTATAAGGTCACCATTGTATTGGAGATTGTTAAAAACAAACAATGCACAATAGAGCAGGCCTGTTTCTTTCTGCTAGTTCAGAAAGTCAGACCACAGTGCAGTGTGTTCTTTGCTCCAGGTTATATAGGCCTCACAGGCAGTGTGTGTGTGTGTGTGTGTGTGTTGGTGCGTGCACACAGGCAGTGTACTGATTTGGCAGACTGTAGCGCGACCAGAATAAACCACAGGTCTTAATGGTTGTCCGATATATTCTAAAGCATGTCCTCCACCGTACATCAGACGTAGAGGTAGTGAGAGGCTGTGTCCCAAATGGCACCATATTCCCTTCCCTACATAGTGCACTACTTTTGACCAGGGCCCAGTAGCACTATATAGGGGATAGTGTGCCATTTAGGATACAGCCAGAGAAAGAGCGAGACAAAGAGAGAACGCCTGCTGGCGAGGGAACGAGGTAGAAGGTGCGAATAGTTTAATGAGAGCTGTAGAAGTGTAAGGGAGCGTGAGCCGTTTGTCATCCCACGGTGAGGTGCTCGTAGTGGGGCCTGACGCCGCCGGGAAGAGGGGCCAACAACCACTGAAACGGCCACTACCGCTGCGCCGCAATGCTTCAGACAAACAACGTGTTTGAACTAGAAACTATTCCCTATGGTGTCTGGTCAAAAGTAATGCACTATAAAGGGAACAGGGTGCCATTTGGGACGCAGTGCTAGACTTGTGGCTGGGGGGAGCAGCCCGCTCCTCTGTCTTGATCTTACCACTGTGCTGAGATACGGTTAATAAAAAGGCCTGTATTACCTCGCTCCAGCGCCTTTAACACCTACAACAACACGCTCGAACACCGCTGACACACACACACACGTTCTTTTTAAACAGCACAGTCACATTCCTTGTGGTCTCTCGAAACAAATTTTAAAAGTGAACTCTGTTTCCTCATCTTAATAAATCAACACGGAGGAGAGCGTCATGACCCGTTTGGACTTTTTCTCAGAAAACTCTCCTGAAAGATTGATAGCTGTCTTCACGTGGCCGTGTGCTGTTTATGTGAGACGGCGACTGCAGTTCACTAGGGCCGGTAGGCCCTCACTTTTGGACGATAGCTCTTTTTTACAGATTTAAAAAAATATATTTTTTTTTACATGGAGAATGAAGGATGCTTAATGTGCTGAGGAAACAGCTTTTATCACTTACAGGGACCATGTGACGGAGAGGACATGTGTGGCCGAGCGCTAAACTATTGTAGGGCTCAAATGGCTCTGTATTACCTCTGTAGTGCACTCCTTATGACCAGGGCCTGTATTACCTCTGTAGTGTACTCCTTATGACCAGGGCCTGTGCGTGTGTGTGTGCATGTGCCTGCCTATGTTGCCATGTGTGTATGGAGAAAGACTTTATCCCTTCAGGAAGAGACACTGCTTCGTGGCCTGAGGTGGCTCTCTGTCTCTCTTTCTCACACACACACACACACACACTCTTAAAGGCAGTCTTTGTTCACACCTGTTTGTCAGAGCAGCTTAAAATCTCTCTGGAAGGATGGACAGGAAGTGAAATGTAGGTGAGCACACCAGATAGGACAGACAGACAGACATGATGACTAATGTCTAAGAGTACAGCGCTTGTGTTCAACCTCCTCTTATAACCCCACCACCCTCTTTTTTTTTTTTTTTTCACTCTCTTTTTCCACCTCATCCACATCAGTGAGTGAACTCAATGTCCATTTGTTTTAGATGGCGGCCTGCTAAACACATTTGCCTGCGAAAATGAATTTCCAATAGGACCCGATGCATTTGTAGCGGCTGCCCAGAACGACAAGCATGTCAGGAATTCCATCCAGGATCAACCCTGCCTTTTTGCCATTCTACAGACGGATTGTAGGGAGCTGTAGGGCTTCCTGCCGCTGTAACGCTTCTAGAACCAGGGGCGTGGAACCTTGTACTTCCATAATTGATTCTTGTCCACACTATTTGAAGACATCGATACAGAGTCTGTTTGAATTAGCCTCATATCAGCCTGGCTATTCCTGCTGACGTTATATAGTATAGGTTTCAGGCAGGAGACGGGGGAGAGAGACGGGGAGAGGGGAGAGGAGGGAGCACCAGCTTTTGTGTTTTGGAAAAGTTGCAAGGCTCTTGAGCCGCAGACAAATCAATATTGCATTACTTCTCCCTCTCTCCCTCTCCCCCCCACCCTCTCTCCCTCTCCCCTCTCCCTCTCTCCCTCTCTCTCCAGTAGATGTGATGAAAACCCCAGCTGCCCACTGAGATGGGTCCTTGTAGATTTTTCAGGCTGTTCAGGGAAACACAACAGAGTGCTCTCTTGGCCTGTTGGTGCTGCACTCCTCTCCTCCTCTCACTCCCTCACTCCTCTCCTCCTCTCACTACACCTCAGTCATATTTACAGTAGTGAGAGCACAGAGGGCTCGGTCAGTGAGTTTCACAGTCTGGCCTTCTCGGTTCCGAGCATGAATGGACTTAGCCAAGGTGTGTGTGTTTGTATGCGTGTCTGCCCGTGTGTGTGTGCTTGGGTCTGTAAACACCATCACACATTTATCAGTGTCTCTTATTGGCTGATGGGATGGAAAGAATTCCGCTCTGCTGTGTCCCGTCCTGGACCAGACCTGGCCTCCACACTGCCTCGCTCCTACGGCCCGGCCGCTCGCCCACAACTCCTTCATTATGGGGAGGCGGTGATGACTGCTTGACTGATGATGTTTTAATGATCAAAAAATAAAATAAATTAAAACTATTTGTCACATGCCGAATACAACAGGTGTAGACCTTACTGTGAAATGCTTACTTACAAGCCCTTAACCAACAATGCAGTTCAAGAAAGAGTTAAGAAAATATTTACCAAATATACTAAAGTAAAAAATCATAAAAAGTAACACAATAAAATAACGAGGCTGTATACAGGGGGTACCGGTACCGAGTCAATGTGCGGGGGTACAGGTTAGTCAAGGTAATTTGTAGGTAGGGGTAAAGTGACTATGCATAGAGTATGAAAATGTATGCACTCACTAACTGTAAGTCGCTCTGGATAAGAGTGTCTGCTAAATGACTAAAATGTCAAATGTAAATAATAAACAGCAGGTAGTAGCAGTGTAAAAACAAATGGACGGGGGAGGTGTCAATGGAAATAGTCCGGATGGCCATTTGATTAGTTGTTCAGCAGTCTTATGGCTTAAAGCAAACATATTTGCTTTAACTCTTTCTCTCTCCGTCCTTCTCTCTCTCTCTCTCTCTCTCTCTCTCTCTCTCTCTCTCTCTCTCTCTCTCTCTCTCTCTCTCTCTCTCTCTCTCTCTCTCTCTCTCTCTCTCTCTCTCTCTCTCTCTCTCTCTCTTTCTCTTTCTCTTTCTCTTTCTCTCTAGGTCCCACGGGGGTAGGTCTAAATGAGCTGAAAAGGAAACTGCTGATCTCTGACCCTCAACACTTCGGTGTGACCGTGCCACGTAAGTCCACCCGACCCGTAGACTAGACCAGACTGGTGGTGGGGTGTGTCTAATGGAGACGTGGAGTGTGTTGGGGGGGTGGTTAGTCTGAGTTTAGACCCCCTCTCCTCTCCATATGTTTCTGATCCTTTTGTTGATGGAAGACAGACAGACAGACAGACATACAGGAAAGAGACAGAAAGTTACTAGGTGAGCTGTTGTCAGGTGGTCAGCAGGACGGATGCTCCTGTCTTTGTAATTCATAAATACCGGAAGCTCTGGTCTGTATCAGATGGTTATGGAGACAAGTTGCTCTGGTTGCATCCCAAATGACACCCCGTTCCCTATGTTGTGCACTTATTTTGACCAGAGCCAATATGGAATAGGGTGCCATTTGGGATGCACTCTGGCTGGATTCCCACAGTGAGCTGAACCCTCATACACAATGACTGGTACTGCATTTACACTGAAACATAGATTGGCTGTACGCTGGCACAGAAATGTAAACGTATTTGGTGCCAGGTTAGATTGTCACTAAACTGAGGCCAAATGCCGCCTGTGATTTTAACTGGTAAGAAATCAGACATCACCCTGGATGAATGTTGTTTAGCTTTCTGCAGCCAGTTTTGTTGTTGCCTTCGTGGGTGTTGGTAAGGGTGAAGGTCCATAGACCCATGCATAGACACCCACTCATTCACATACACACACACACACGGAGCTGTCTGGGGGTGACTAACGCCAAGACATTGTTCTCAGGCTGGGCGGCTGTGCGTCTCAAGGCCCCGGGCCTCTAGGCAGACGCACACACCCTCTCTCACACACACACACTCCACCCAGGCGAGTGGAGTGGTTCTCCTCCTGACTGTGTAATTGTCCGTTTATCGCGGGCCGCATGACAAGCCCAGAGTGATGAAGGAAACGCTGCTTTATTTTCTACCTCCTGAAGAAATGCCATTCCACTGCCTCATGTTTTGGCACAACCACCACGCTCCCTTACTCACCCTCTCTGCTCTCTCCACCTCCAGCTCTCTCTCCCCGACCACGCTCCCTTACTCACTGCTCTCTCCACCTCCAGCTCTCTCTCCCCGACCACGCTCCCTTACTCAGCTTCTCGCCTTCCCTCAGCTCTCTCTCCCGACCACGCTCCCTTACGCCCCCACTGCTCTCTCCACCTCCAGCTTCTCTCTTCCCGACCACGCTCCTTACTCACCCTTGCTCTCTCCACCTCCAGCTCTCTCTCCCCGACCCGCTCCCTTACTCGCCATCTCTGCTCTCCACCTCCAGCTCTCTCTCCCGACCACGCTCCCTTACTCGCCCTCTCTGCTCTCTCCACCTCCAGCTCTCCTCCCCCGACCACGCTCCCTTACTCACTGCTCTCTCCACCTCCAGCTCTCTCTCCCCGACCACGCTCCCTTACTCACTGCTCTCTCCACCTCCAGCTCTCTCTCCCCGACCACGCTCCCTTACTCGCCCTCTGCTCTCTCCACCTCCAGCTCTCTCTCCCCAACCACGCTCCCTTACTCACCCTCTCTGCTCTCTCCACCTACAGCTCTCTCTCCCCGACCACGCTCCCTTACTCGCCCTCTCTGCTCTCTCCACCTCCAGCTCTCTCTCCCCGACCACGCTCCCTTACTCGCCCTCTCTGCTCTCTCCACCTCCAGCTCTCTCTCCCCAACCTCGCTCCCTTACCACGTTCTCCCCCTCTTCCTCTCTCTCTCCCCTCTCCCTCCATCTATAAGAACTAAATGACAGCTTGCCATAATTCTGAACACCATCCAGCCACAATGCTGGTTATGACTTAGCCTCAAACCACTGCCAAGGTTTTTCAGTTTGTAACTTTTAGTATTTTTTTATTTTATATTTATTTTTTTAGCAGCAAAAACTATTTCTGAGCCCACATGCCCGAACCAAGGCCAACGTGTTAGGAAAAATGAATTGGTTTGATTTCTGTATTTAAGCAGGACACAGCCAGAGTAATTGCATATTTACTGCGGGCTCGCTGGGAAATGTGCGAGGAGGAAGGGATAAACGGAATCTGTTGATATTAATTGCCATGTTTGGAACATGCAGCATGGCATAATGGATGTGTCCCATTCTGTGTCTGACACTTGAAATGTCACTGGTATTAAAATCCCTTCGCAGTCACTCTTTTTCCCATAATAACTGCTGTTAATTGTTCACAAATGTGACCCCTGGTTCGATGTCTAACCTCTTATAGACAACATATACAGTGGGGGAAAAAAGTATTTAGTCAGCCACCAATTGTGCAAGTTCTCCCACTTAAAAAGATGAGAGAGGCCTGTAATTTTCATCATAGGTACACGTCAACTATGACAGACAAAATGAGAATTTCTTTTCCAGAAAATCACATTGTAGGATTTTTTATGAATTTATTTGCAAATGATGGTGGAAAATAAGTATTTGGTCAATGACAAAAGTTTCTCAATACTTTGTTATATACCCTTTGTTGGCAATGACACAGGTCAAACGTTTTCTGTAGGTCTTCACAAGGTTTTCACACACTGTTGCTGGTATTTTGGCCCATTCCTCCATGCAGATCTCCTCTAGAGCAGTGATGTTTTGGGGCTGTCGCTGGGCAACATAGACTTTCAACTCCCTCCAAAGATTTTCTATGGGGTTGAGATCTGGAGACTGGCTAGGTCACTCCAGGACCTTGAAATGCTTCTTGCGAAGCCACTCCTTCGTTGCCCGGGCGGTGTGTTTGGGATCATTGTCATGCTGAAAGACCCAGCCACGTTTCATCTTCAATGCCCTTGCTGATGGAAGGAGGTTTTCACTCAAAATCTCACGATACATGGCCCCATTCATTCTTTCCTTTACACGGATCAGTCGTCCTGGTCCCTTTGCAGAAAAACAGCCCCAAAGCATAATGTTTCCACCCCCATGCTTCACAGTAGGTATGGTGTTCTTTGGATGCAACTCAGCATTCTTTGTCCTCCAAACACGACGAGTTGAGTTTTTACCAAAAAGTTATATTTTGGTTTCATCTGACCATATGACATTCTCCCAATCCTCTTCTGGATCATCCAAATGCACTCTAGCAAACTTCAGACGGGCCTGGACATGTACTGGCTTAAGCAGGGGGACACGTCTGGCACTGCAGGATTTGAGGTCCCTGGCGGCGTAGTGTGTTACTGATGGTAGGCTTTGTTACTTTGGTCCCAGCTCTCTGCAGGTCATTCACTAGGTCCCCCCGTGTGGTTCTGGGATTTTTGCTCACTGTTCTTGTGATCATTTTGACCCCACGGGGTGAGATCTTGCGTGGAGCCCCAGATCGAGGGAGATTATCAGTGGTCTTGTATGTCTTCCATTTCCTAATAATTGCTCCCACAGTTGATTTCTTCAAACCAAGCTGCTTACCTATTGCAGATTCAGTCTTCCCAGCCTGGTGCAGGTCTACAATTTTGTTTCTGGTGTCCTTTGACAGCTCTTTGGTCTTGGCCATAGTGGAGTTTGGAGTGTGACTGTTTGAGGTTGTGGACAGGTGTCTTTTATACTGATAACAAGTTCAAACAGGTGCCATTAATACAGGTAACGAGTGGAGGACAGAGGAGCCTCTTAAAGAAGAAGTTACAGATCTGTGAGAGCCAGAAATCTTGCTTGTTTGTAGGTGACCAAATACTTATTTTCCACCATAATTTGCAAATAAATTCATTAAAAATCCTACAATGTGATTTTCTGGATTATTTTTCCTCAATTTTCTGTCATAGTTGACGTGTACCTATGATGAAAATTACAGGCCTCTCTCATCTTTTTAAGTGGGAGAACTTGCACAATTGGTAGCTGACTAAATACTTTTTTTCCCCACTGTAGTATACCAGACCTCTGGGTTTCATTGAGAGGGAAAAGCGTCTCGGAAAGTATCTCTTTCCCCCTTTTTATTTGATCACTGCCAACGTTGGCCTACAGATAACACTTGCTGTTGTTTCGGATTAAAAGCCCAAAAAGCGTTAGCCCCTTTTGTTAATTTGAAAAACATATTTCTGAAGACCACCATAAGGCTTGTGTTCTCAGTTAAGGTCTTTTATACCCTCCATGTGTGTGTAGAATGTAAACCATCCTTCAGCCTGCCAGTCAGTAACAAAAGCAGGGATTGCAATGAGCCATTAGGATGGATAGGGGTTAAACATTTTGATTTCAGGCCAGATTTACTGACAGATATTTTCCATGATTGGGGAATGAAATTCATTTCAGATTCCTTTGTTGCACGGTAAATACTTCCTAAACAACTGAGCAGATGCTAAATAATATATATATTGTATTGGTCTGACTCTATGTACTGAAAGACTATCTTATACAGTTGCGCATACTGCTCATTGCGGCTTCTGAGGCATAAATATATGTTATCTTATGACGGTCTGGACTCGTAGTTTTTTTCCAACTGTGGCTGAAGATGTAGGCCTATTCTGTTGATGAGTAATTGATTCATTGCAGAGGCCAGTCTTCCTCCTCTCTTTCGGGAAGGATGGATTTACAGTTTTCAAACTGAGCTACATATCCAGTAAATCACTTAAGTTGTTCGTCCGTGAACTCCACTGGCCACGCACATAAAAACACACAGTGTGGAAAAAGAACTCGTCAGTCCCTGTCCCTCCACTCTGTTCCGACGACTGAGGCCACATCCCAGAAATAGCCACATCTTAGGCACACGGCGAGTTAGGGAAAGAAAACTAGGAAGGAACTGTAAACCTGGCGTGGCGGTTGTAGGAACGGTGATAAAAGTTTAATAGTTTGTTTTGGAGCTGGAAGGAGCGTGCGGCCAATTTGTCTGAAGCGTGTAACGGAGTTGACCTCCGACCCCTGTATCTCTCATTAAACAAGCGGCAGTTCAATGTCCACAGACGGCACGGCGGGACCTCTCGCCCCTCGCAAATCCACTCGACCCTGGCTTCGCTGCTCATACACACACAAACACTGTGCTGCCGCTCTGCTGCCTCCACGTGTCACCCTTTTAATGGCAGAGGTTTATGAGGAAGCAAATGTAGAAAATGATCTTAATGAGAGTTACCCAACTCAATTACATTAGCCTCTTAGTCTCCATCTAATGGAACTGCTCCTGTGTGCGTGCATGTGTGTACACTATTGACTGTTTTTTAATGTGCCAAATTGAATGTTCCTCTGTAAACGTTGACTACTGAATGTCAGTAAAGTGTCTGAGTCTAGTGGTGCCCTAGCCACTAGAGGTTCTCAATCATACACAAGGCCTAGCTCTGAACACCAACAGTGCTGTGTGTTTTACTGAGAAATTACTGGGATGGTAATAAGGAATGATTCCTGTCAGAACTGTGACTCAGAATGTCTGGATTAGTAGTGATGTCTCTCTCTCCCCGTCTCTCTCTCTGTCTCTCTCTCTCTGTCTCTGTCTGTCTGTCTACTACAGACACCAGCAGGCCGAAGAGGAACCAGGAGAATGACGGGGTGGAGTATCACTTTATCTCCAAAAATATCTTTGAGACGGACATCCACAACAACAAGTAAGTATACTTCTGAAACCGCAGTCATCTATAACCAGCACTAATACCACCTCTAATACAAAACAAACCACGTCAAATACATATTATCTGCGTCCATCCATTCCCACAGGCACAACAACTGCAGTGTAACTAAAACGCACAGCTCTTACATTGGAGATCTCATTCAGTACCTCTTTCTGGAATCAACCACATTCTGCCATCTCCTCCCTGGCCACTAGGGGCAGTGTAACTAAGAGACAGACTGGTGAATGACCTCAGCTGACGTGAGCAGGGTTCTCTATAAATAGACCAGGGTTCTCCCCTATGACTCTCCCTGACTGAGTGTGAGGTGGTGTTGACAGGGCCAGGCCCTGGCTTGGTAAAAAAGCTATTCTACAAAGGGCCCCAAGGTCACAGAGGGCCCCGCTCTGCCCTGTGTGCATGTGCGTGTGTGTTTCTTTGAGGTGGCCCCGGGCCCCGCCGCTGACACTCACACTCAGGAGCCGCTCTCACATTATGCGGGCGGACAAATTGAAACAGAAATGAACATCCTTAGTGATGGATGCCTTTCCGGCTGTCTCGCTCCCTACGCACACACAACAGGATGGCTGGGGTGCTGAGTGTGTATAGAGTGTCAGTGCATGCAGAAAGAGGCTGGGACCAGGGTAGGTTGTTTTATTTTTAGGGCTGGCTCAGCTGTGGTTGGTCATGGGGCACGGCATGGTATGTCTGTCAGGAAGTTTAGAGTTAGGGGTGAATGTTGGGACTGTGATGTGGGACAATCCACACACACACACACACACACACAAACACAAATTACAAGGCAGTGGAGAGAGGAGAAGAGTGAGATAGCCTTGTTGTTTGCATTGCGCTTTGGTGCATGCACTCATAACAATGTACACACACACACACACACACACACACACACACAGAAGCTCTCTCTCAGTGCCAGTAGAGAAATGGGCCACGGACAGTAACTAGCAGTGCCTGAAAGTGTGTGTAACTTTCCCAAGGAAAGCCCTGTTCCCTGCAAAAAATGGATAGCATCCATACATTCCCAATTTAGCTGAACCAGTCTTGGCATGCTACACTTCTCAACAGTAGCTCTCCCAATCTACAGTATAGAGCAGCACTTGTGACAACAAACAGCATAGTATTTTGCAGTGTATGGCTATGGCATGCCTTTTTAAACATGAAATTAAATGAATTTCCCATAACCAAATATAAGAGCTTGTTAGACTACAGGCTCCTTTTCTGAAACGGAATAAAATGTTCTTACATGAGGCAATTACTATAAAATGTGTTTTACATGGATTTTAGTACTGCAAGTACAGACATTCAGCCCAATGATCATCAGGACCAGTCTGATGGAGCATCCCAAATGGTACCCTATTCCCTACATAGTGCACTACCCTATGCCCGTATGGGCCTTGGTCAAAAGTAGTGCACTATATAGGGACTAGGGTGCCATTTGGAATACACACTTTGTCTACAAACACACACACAGTCTTATTATTTAGAAATGTAAACTTAGTGAGACACACACACTACACACAAACACACACACGCATACACACACACACACACACATACACACTAGACACGCTCCTGGCATTCTCCTTCTACACTTTAAACAAACAGGTGTTACTGATTTAAAGTGTAGCATAGAAGATTATATAAAGGGTTATTGTGCCAGACTGTCTGGATTTGTGTTGTACTGAAGAATGCTATCTGAGGATCCGTCAGTGGTTGATAGAGTAATCCTTAGTCCCTGTGGTACTGTAGGCTTTTATAATGGCCTTATTCTGAACAGAATCTCAGTTAGGAGTGCGTGTGCGTGTGCGTGTGGATAGTGTATATAAATAAGAAAGGAGTGAACTGAAGTGCCTTAGAATAAGATTATAATACAGTTAGTCCTCAGGGTAGGTGAATGATACATTGGTTTTATTTGACATTAATCTTAATGTTAATCCCAGCCTGTAGTTGTAAATGATGTGAGTGAAACCTTTACTCACGGACCTCCTCTTATGCTTTTTTACTCCCCTCATACCTCTCTCTCTCTATGACTTTCCCTCTCTGTGTGGATGTGTGCTGCAAAATGAATTGCCTCATTGAGGACATTAAAGTTGTTCTAATCTCTCTCTCTCTCTCTCTCTCTCTCGATCGCCCTCATCCCCCTCCCTTCTTTCTTTCTTTGCCCTCTCTCTCTCGCCTCGCTCTCTCTCATCCATCTCTCCTTCATCTCTCTCTCATCTGCTCGTCCCAGGACCCTCTCTCATCTCTCTCCCTCCCTCCCTCTCTCTCTCTCTCTCTCTCTCTCTCTCTCTCTCGCCCTCTCCCCCTCCCTCTTTCTTTTCTTTCTCTCTCTTTCTCGCTCTCCCCCTCTCTCTCTTTCCCCTCCCTCTCTCTCTCTCTCTCAATTCAATTAAATTCAAGTGGCTTTATTGGCATGGGAAACATATGTTTATATTGCCAAAGCAAGTGAAATAGGTAAACAAAAGTGAAATAAACAATAAAAAGTGAACCGTAAATATTACACTCACACAAGTCTCCCTCTCTCTCTCTGTAGGTTCATAGAGCATGGAGAGTATAAAGGGAACTACTATGGAACCAGTTTGGACTCTGTGCGTTCTGTCCTGTCCAAGAACAAGGTGTGCCTGCTGGACGTTCAGCCTCATGTGAGTTACACAAGTCCCTGACCCAGTCACAATCTTCCCTTACTTTCCCTCTATCCTCTATCCCTTCATTCTTTCCCTCTACCCTCCATCCCCTCAGTCTTTACCTCTACCCTCCATCCCCTCAGTCTTTCCCTCTACCCTCCATCCCCTCAGTCTTTCCCTCTACCCTCCATCCCTTCTCAGTCTTCCCTCTACCCTCCATCCCCTCAGTCTTTCCCTCTACCCTCCATCCCCTCAGTCTTTCCCTCTACCCTCCATCCCCTCAGTCTTTCCCTCTACCCTCCATCCCCTCAGTCTTTCCCTCTACCCTCCATCCCCTCAGTCTTTCCCTCTACCCTCCATCCCCTCAGTCTTTCCATCTACACTCATCCCCTCAGTCTTTCCCTCTACCTACATCCCATCAGTCTTTAACCTCTACCCTCCATCCCTCAGTCTTTACACTCTACCCTCCATCCCCTCAGTTTTCCTCACCCTCAATCCACAGTTTTCATATCACACCTCCACCCAGTCTTGTCCCATAACCCAACACATACCCAGTCTTTACCCTCTACCCCCATCACCTAGTCTTTCAGCACATACCTACCCTCCATCCCACTAAGATGGTCACGTCTAACCACCATCCCGTAGTCTTTACCTAACCCTCAATAACCTCAGTCTTCCCTATACCCTCCATCCCCTAAATCTTTCATACCTACCCAATCCCCTCAGTGTCTCTCTACAACGCCATCCACCTCAGTCTTTACCCTCTACACCTACATCCCCTCAGTCTTTCCCTCTACCCATCCAGCTTTCCCCTAACACCTCAGTTCCCTTACCTCCATCCCCTCAGTCTTTACCTCTACCCTCCATCCCCTCAGTCTTTCCCTCTACCCTCCATCCCCTCAGTCTTTCCCTCTACCCTCCATCCCCTCAGTCTTTACCTCTACTCTACCACTCCTTTTCCCTACCAATGTCATTCCCTTCATCCCGTGCAATAAAGTTTTTACTGCGTTAACGTTCATATAAGGAAATAATTCAATAGAAATGAATTCATTAGGCCCTAATCTATGGATTTCACATGACTGGGAATAGAGGTATGCATCTGTTGGTCACAGATACCTTTAAAAGAAGTAGGTGCGTGGATCAGAAAACCAGTCAGTATCTGGTGTGACCACCATTTGCCTCATGCAGCGTGACACTCTCCTTCACATAGAGTTGATCAGAGGCTGTTGATTGTGGCCTGTGGAATGTTGTCCCACTCCTCTTCAATGGCTGTGTGAAGTTGCTGGATATTGGCGGGAACTAGAACACGCTGTTGTACACGTCGATCCAGAGCATCCCGAACATGCTCAATGGGTGACATGTCTGGTGAGTATACAGGCCATGGAAGAACTGGGACATTTTCAGCTTCCAGGAATTGTGTACAGATCTTTGAGACATGGGGTCGTGCATTATCATGCTGAAACATGAGGGGATGGCAGCGGATGAATGGCATGACAATGGGCCTCAGGATCTCGTCACGGTATCTCTGTGCATTCAAATTGCCATCAATAAAATGCAGTTGTGTTCGTTGTCTGTAGCTTATGCCTGCCGATACCATAACCCCACCGCCACCATGGGGCACTCTGTTCATAATGTTGACATCAGCAAACCGCTCGCCAACACAACGCCATACAAGGGGTCTGCGGTTGTGAGGCCAGTTGGATGTACTGCCAAATTCTCTAAAGTGACGTTGAAGGCAGCTTATGGTAGAGAAATGAACATTCAATTCACTGGCAACAGCTCTGGTGGACATTCCTGCAGTCCGCATGCCAATTGCACGCTGCCTCAAAACTTGAGACATCTGTGGCATTGTTGTGTGACAAAACTCCACATTTTAGAATGACCTTTTATTGTTCCCAGCACAAGGTGCACCTGTGTAATGATCATGCTGTTTAATCAGCTTCTTGATATACCACACCTGTCAGGTGGATGGATTATCTTGTCAAAGGAGAAATGCTCACTAACAGGGATGTAAACAAATTTGTGCACAAAATTTGAGAGAAATAAGCTTTTTGTGCGTATGGAAAATTTCTGGGATCTTTTATTTCAGCTCATGAAACATGGGACCAACACTTTACACGTTGCGTTTATACATTTGTTCAGTGTATATCCCTTTGGCACCTCTCTCTCTGCCTATCTCCTGGAGGAATCTCATCATTCAGAAGACTTCAGAGGCAGCCGCGGCTTTCTGTAGGCCTTGGCTGCTTACTGGGTTACCAACCAAACCCGGCTTAAAGGGGCATTTTTAGCAGCAATTACCGCTAATGTTCCTTATTTCAAGATTTCCTCTTTGGCTTATGTGTCTGGGTGGTGGTGATCTGCCTCTCTTAAGTGGCCTGTATGTCGCTGAGAGCCCACAAACCCCACAGTTACAATCCACAGCCTAGCACCCACCCTGCCTCAACCCTGCCTCTCGCACACACACACACACACACACACACACACTTGCATGGGCCCCATAGGCATCCTCTGTTTGTTTTCTCTGAGTAAATAATCATATAGAGGCTGAAATACATTTATATAGATTACTGGCATGTTTTCAAACCGTCTCTCCCTGACCAAGTAGCAAGCAGTTAACTGAGCCCCTTGGTAGCCCCTGCTGTGTGTGTTTGTGTACATGTGTTTATATGTGCGTGGTCGCACTTGTCTGCGCCTTTGTGCTCCCTTCTAGCTCTCTACCTCGCTCAGTAGTCGTTCACATGAGTTTCAAATCAGCTTGTTGCAGAGCAAGGGATGTTGACTGGTCCCATGCTGACCGTCTGAGCGTCAGATGAAAGCTCTACTCTCCTCCTCTTCTCTCTCTGTGATGGAGATGAATGGTAGTCTAGCTCCACTTCCCTCCTGGCTTCTGCTCCTGTCTTCGCTTGCGTCCCAAATGGCACCCTATTCCCTATCTAGTGCACTTAATAGGGAATAGGGTGCAGTGTTGGACGCAGACTTCGTATCGGCCCAGGGTTTCTGACCCGCTCAGCAGAACACAGCGAGAGGCCGTGGTATCGGGCCCAGAGGGAGGTGGACCGGCGTCGGTTAACACTGCTCGGCTGCGTTTCAGTACACACACACACACACTGCTACGTGTCAACGCGACCCAGCTGTGTAACGTGTCATCGCCTCTGCACTGTGACAGGCTAGACAGACTGAGATCTGGGTCTAATTCCACTCTGCGATATCTCCAACCAGACACTCTCTTCTTTTCTCTTTTCCTCTCCTTTCCTCTCCTCTCCTAACTGTGTTTTCTCTTTCCTCTGTGTGTTGCAGACGATAAAGCACCTGAGGACGGCGGAGTTTAAACCCTACGTGGTGTTCGTGAAGCCACCACCCATCGAGCGCCTGCGGGAGAGCAGACGGAACGCTAAGGTCATCTCAGGCAAGGACGACAAGGGATCTGCCAAACCATTCTCCGTAAGTAACGTCAGCAAAAACGTTTCAATGTTTTGGTATTGTCAAGAGAAGCCTTTTCACCTTGTCAAAAATCTCAGTGACAGAAAAGTTTGCATCTTTTGAAGTAAAAGACTTCGTAAAAGTAAAAGGCCGTTTTTAAAATGTCACACAATGTCAAAAAGTTGTCCACAGAAATGACTGGCTTAAGCACACTTTCCTCTCAGAGAGGTCTGTCCTCTGCATGCAGGGTAAATGTGACGTGGTGGGAAGGATCAAATGTGATCCAGTGGTGTAAAAGATCACATATTTTGAAGAACAGTACTCAGGTAAAACAGGCAGTGTTTTAGAATGTCAAACAACTTTTTTTTATATATAAGAAATCCACAGAATGGATAATGATTGGTTAATTGCATTGGAAGCACACTTCCCACTCAGACGTCTTCAGTAAAAGTGATGTGGTATGTGTGACTGTGTGCGTGCGTGTAATGTGACGTTATAAGGTGGGATCAAAGATGATCAAGCCGGGTTAAGAGTACCACATGACCTAGTTGCTAGTTATCAGAAGCCCCCTTTATCTGGGGCTCTGGGGGAGCTAGTTTTGGTGGTGAGGTCATACTTACTACACACACCTTTCTGCTGCAGGCTAGGGTGTGTGTGTGTATGCGGGCGTGTGTGTGTGGTTGTGTGTTACACACCTTTCTACCGCAGCAAGTCACAGCTCACAGCCGCTTGAACCCAATTAGCCGTGGCGCGTTGCCGTGGGGTTGGCGTAGGCGTGTGGCAGCTGATGGATTTCCCAGCCCACCGGGTCATCAGGTCCGGCGCTCGCGTGTCTCTCCCTCCGTTGGGGGCACGCTACGGGCCAAAACCCAGGCCACAGCCACACGCAAGGCCGGGATGGCGTGATATGATGACACGAGAGAGGAGAGAGAGAGAGGGAGGGGGGGAGAAAGAGAGGGGGGGGGAGAGAGTGAGGGGGGACGAGAGAGGGGGAAGAGAGAGAGGGGGGGGAGAAGAGGGGAGATAGGAGAGATGTGGGAGAGAGCTCGGGATAAGGGGGAAAACGAGAGGAGGGGGGGGGTGAGGGGGAGGATGGAGGGAAAAGTCTAGAGATGGTCTCCTTTCTTCTGTTCGTTGCTCTTCTCGATGGTTCTTTCTTGGAGCGTCTCTTTTATCGCCCTCCCGTCTGTTTCCCATCCTGCGGGAGCAGACGTCTGCCGGCAAGAGGGGAGAGGAGGGTCGTGCTGTCATGTTTGTGTGCGTTGATGCTTTCCACGCGCCCGCCCTGAAGGTCGTGTCAACCGAGCTGGGGGAGGGGAGGGGAGAGGAGGAGGAGGAGGTGTAGCCGGACGGCCGCAGGTGCAGATCAGATCGGCGGGCGGCTCAGTGTGGTGTCTGCCTCGGCCTTCGCAGCCCCGCAGGGCTCCGGGCCGCTCTCTGCCTTTCGTCTGTTCTCTCTCCCTCTTTCTCCGTCTCTCCCTCAATGTGTGTCTGCTCTTTTCAGCTCAGAGCATCAGAGCCTGTACCAAATCGCTCCCTAGTCCCTATATAGTGCACTACTTTTGTCAAAAGTAGTGCACTATACAGGGAATAGGGAGCAATTTGGGGCGCAGCCTCAGCCCCACTTTGAGGTGTTACTCAACACATACCTCTGTTTTCACCATGACCTAACCTAACACAAAGCCCAGCACGGCTCTGGAAAAGGACAGGGTTAGACACAGCAGCTCTTAACTCAGAACATCCTTCGTTGAGCCGTCACTAAGTTGTACCGTCACTGTTTTAAGCACAACATGTCAGAGGGACAGCATCTATTTTTTAAAATCATCCTTAAAGCATTAAATGATTACATAAATTCAATGGTCACCTCACTGATATACTGACATAATGCATTAAAGTCGGTAGCATCACTTTTTTTCTCTGACCCCATACCAGTCATTTACAGACTACATCTCTGAGATCTCTGATATGTTTTTGTTTTATCTCAATAAGAAAGGCTCTTGGGCTAGAGGACATAGGTAAACAGTTCCATCATGCATGATGATGACCATCCTGGGGGTGAGTGGTCGAACAGAGAGAGGTCAGAGGTCATGCTATCGACCTTTGTATGACCTTTGGGTTAAAGTCACCCTCTGCTCTCAGTATGACTCCTATGAACAGTAAGCACTAGTTGCCACAAACAGGGCAGACTGACATTGATTACCCTGGCCTATAATACCTTTATTAGATTCAGAGCTCAGGTAACACAAATCCAACCTAAGCATTTCTCTTTGTTACCAGGTTTGAATATTTCCAGTTACCAAAGCCCTTTCTGTGACCTTTATATATATATATATATATATATAAAATGAAATAAATATAGAGATTGACAGACAGCGTTTTAAACCATCAGATCCCAGCTATTAAAGAAAGAAAGGCTTTGCTTGGTGAAAATGTCACGGCTGGATTTTATTCTCAGCCTGCTATATTTCTTTCAGTAGAGACGAATGTCAGAGACAGCAGGTCTGGTCATTGTACCATCCAGACTACTGGAGAACAGACGGTTCATTGTTTTAACAGAGCCGTCTATGCTTTATTTTACCTGTATGCATTCATATCTGTTTTCAAATGGGGCTGACGCGAAATATGAGCCCCAAATCACTTTCTGTAATACGATAATGAATATGTCCATATTCCTATTCCTAGTAAGAGCAGTATCATAAGTAAAGGGATCATTAGGTAGGTCTACTTACTGGTATCTTACCTTTCCCTCTAGCCAAGCAATGACATTCTGTCTTCTTTGAGAAAGAGTAAATCAGGGACCTCTTGCCGAACCAGATCTGTTCTGATATTTTATATCATTTTAATACAGAGGGCAGGTGCATTTTATGTGTATGAATAAAAGCTGATTTTCCGTTGAGGGCCTGACCTCAGAGGGGATGGCCAAGGACTCCTGCTGATGGCCAAGAGACATCAGGACTGAGAGGAGACCTTATCCTGGCTCAGTACCATAGATCTATCTCTTTCTCCCTCTATCTATCTTTCTCTCTCTCCCTCTCCCTCTCTCTCTCTCTCTCTCTCTCTCTCTCTCTCTCTCTCTCTCTCTCTCTCTCTCTCTCTCTCTCTCTCTCTCTCTCTCTCTCTCTCTGTATCTCTCTCTCTCTCTCTGTATCTCTCTTTCCGTCTGTCATTCTTTGTTTTTTCCGTCAGTTTTTTTCTGTCTGGTTCTCTCATTCTTGTTCTCTTTCTCTCCCTCCCTCTCTCCCCATAATGTGAAAGGTCACCCTTACCTGGCCTGCTATGGTCATAGAGAGGGAGACTTTCCATGTCATGGGCACTGACCGACTGGTCGACATGGAAACGGCATACACAGCATCTCTAGGGCTCCTTCTGTCCATGTCCACCCCACCGTCCTGTTGCCAGTTCCTGGTCTAATGTCCAAAGGGTTGGAGAGCTGCTGGCAGCAATAGCTGGTAGTGTGTCCCAAATGGCACCCTATTCCCTACATAGTGCACTACTTTTGACCAGAGCCCTATGGGAATCGGGTGCCATTTGGGAGCACCCTGGGTCACTGTGTCCACATCCAACCTCCATCCTTTCCAAGGGCTGACCACAGAGGAAGGCTACCAAGGGTCAGCAGCCTCGGATCACTGGAGGGAATATACGGTGTACAGACGGACCGAACCACTTCAACTTCCTCTCAGCCCTGACCAACAAACCTTCTGCTCCCTCCTCAACCTCTTCCCTTCCTCAGAGACGGAGAATGATAAAACCATCATGTCTTCTCACAAAAGACAATAGACCGTGAAATAATGTGGGTTGATTTTTTACTGCCTTGTACAGTAGACAGTGAACACAGGGGGAGAGAAAGCTGTGCAAGGGCTGTGTCGGAGGCAGGGTGGTATGTTTGCGGAGACTGGCTTGAAAACTAGTTATTGTCGTGTCATGGCGACCGTTTAATTTTAGCTGCACGACTAATCAACTATGAGGCGGAAAACCGCGAGCAACAGACTGAAGTAACTCCTGGCTCGGAGCTTTGAGGCCGACGAAAAGGAGACATTCTAAAATTGTAGGTTTTAATGAGTTTGTGTGTGCATCAATGTGTGTGTGTGAACGCGCATGCGTCAATGTGTTTGTGTGTGTGTGCGCATTTGCATCAGTGTGTGTGTCTGTGTTCCTGCTTATGAATGTGTCTGTATATAAGTATTTATATTTATGTGTTTGGCAGAGTCAGTGACCGTATCTCAGTGGAGATCTGAAGCTCAGTATTCCTCTAGTAAAAGGAGCTAGCTAAATGTAGCTAGCCGCTCTAACCCTGCCATGTTCCCTGGGTCTGAGGCAGGAATGGACCAGGCCATATAAACAGATCACCGTGCGGTATGATACCATGCCATCAGAGAGGGGAAACTGTGAGGAGGTAGCTAGCCAGGTCCCAGATCTATGTGTGCTGTCTTGCCAACTCCATTCACGCCAGTGGCCATAGGAGTTGCAAAACAGCACAAGCAGATCTGGGACCATGCTAGCGGAGAGGCCTGGAGTTGTACAGATACTAGGTTCATGTGCTCAAGCCATTTCCATTTCTGAAGCCCTCCCATTTTTAATGCCTTGTCCACAAGCTGTCTTTGGCCTGTCTCCATAAAACCAAAGAGGCATGTATCAATTATGGACCTTTTACTTGTTTTGTATGTCTCTTTGTCAGTTATGGATATGTTTTTTCTTTTTCTGTTTTTAGGCATATTTTATTTTTCTTCTGAATCGGATAGGCTATGTGTAGCCAAATGAGGAAATTATGAACATTCCTTGAGGTTTTGGACTTTTGTAAAGTGTACTAGGCTATGTGTGGGTGTGGGTGTCCTTCAGTTACACAGGGCTGTTTGGGTCAGTCTGTTTATCTGGGTGTTTATGGCTGTTATGTTTGTGTTTATGTGTGTGTCTCTGTCGTCACTGAGATACTCACTTACTCATGCCCTTTATTCTTCATAGGTCATAGACAAAAGCTTGTCCCGAAGATAAGCAGAAAATAGATTTCTCTCAAAATTCACGGTAAAATATAAACTCCGTTTATTAGGTACACCCATCTAGTACCGGGTCAGACCCCACTTTGCCTCCAGAACAGCCTGAATTCTTTGGGGCATGGACATGTTGCTCAATTGGTATCAAGGGACCTAACGTGTGCCAGGAAAACATTCACCACACCATTATACCACCGCCACCAGCCTATACCGTTGACACCAGACAGGATGGGGCCATGGACTCATGTTGCTTACGCCAAATCCTGACCCCTGCCATCAGCATGACGCAACAGGAACTGTGACCAGGCAATGTTTTTCCACTCCTCAATTGTCCAGTGTTGGTGATGGCGTGCCCACTGGAGCCTCTTCTTCTTGTTTTTACCTGATTTAGTCCATCCGTGACAAGGACCGATGAGTTGTGCATTCTGAGATGCCGTTCTACACACCACTGTTGTACTGCGCCATTATTTGCCTGTTTGTGGCCCGTTTGTTTACTTGTACGATTCTTGCCATGCTCCTGCGACCTCTCATGAGCTGTTTTCGCCCACATGACTGCCGCTGACTGGATGATTTTTGTTTGTCGCACCATTTTCAGTAAACCCTAGACACTGTTGTGCGTGAAAAGCCAAGGAGGCCATCCATTTCCTAGATACTGTAACCGGCGTGCCTGGCCCCAACGATCATACCACGCTCAAAGTCGCTTACTGTAGGTTACTCGCTTTGCCCATTCTAACGTTCAATCGAACAGTAACTGAATGCCTCGATGCCTGTCTGCCTGCTTTATATAAAAAGCCACAGCCTTGTGACTCACTGTCTGTAGGAGATAACTATTTTTGTGAACGGGGTGGTGTACCTAATAAACTGGCCTCTGAGTGTATATTTTATTACATTCTATTCTTGTCCAATAGGAGGAGGACTTCCTGGAGATGGTGAGCACCGCCCAGCAGATGGAAAGCCAGCACGGACACCTGTTTGAGAAGATCATTGTTAACGACGACCTGACGGCGGCATTCAGCGAGCTCAAAGTGGCTCTGAAGAAGGTGGAGACAGACAGTCACTGGGTCCCCATCAGCTGGACTCACTCCTGAGAACCACAGAGAAAGAGTGAAATACTTTTTTGAGAAAGAAGAATATAAAAAGGGAAGGACTTTTTAACAAAGTTGGTTCTGTGTCCACTGCGTAGGTGGTGGGTGCTGTTGTTGTTAGGATGGATCGTAACACAGCTGGACAGCAGAATGGGCTGACTTTGTGTGCCTCAAATGGCACCCTATTCCCTATATAGTACACTACTTTCTGAAGGTACTTTCCAAAAGTAGTGCACTATGTAGGGAATAGAGTGTCATTTGGGACGAAGCCTGTATCTCTATCTGGGTCTTCCTCTGGGCCCTGTCCAGCTCAGTCAACAGTCAACGCACTGGACATCTGAGGGTGGGGCTGGTCTGATCTGGTTCTAGACTGCTGCACTATCTTCTGATCAGATCGGTATGACTGTGACTGTCAATCAGTGCTGTGCCAGAACGTACTGTAACTTTGGACTCCTTCCTTAGTGTGTTTTTAACATTAGTTTATAGAAACCAAAGGGATTTGTATTGTTCTGTGTCTGGGTGGGTGGTTGACATGAATGTGTCTGTATATTAATGCAGAATGGTGGAACAGATTTTTAAAAAAATAACATTTTAAACTCAGCTTGGGTTCGAAACGGCACCATATTCCCTATGTAATGCACTACTTTTGACCAGGGCCCATAGGGGATAGGGTGCCATTTCAGACACACCCTCAAACTCTGATAAACGTTTCCCTTGTGATTTCTAACGCTTCCATAGACTGCTACACCAAGGTATCAAAGCAAAAACTTCGGCAGGTACAGTACACTAAAAAAAGGGCAACAACAGGTGTAATTTTATTTAAGATAAATTAATATATTTGAATATTTTTCTGCAGTTTTACATACCTTTTTATATTCAACATATCTATTAGCATAATCTGTAAATGATTTGTGATGTTACTTTGACGTTGGAAGTCTTTTTTCAAGGCCTCAGTCAGACAGTTATGTCGTCGCACCTCAAATTCCCAAGGCCCTACTTAAACAGGGTGTATTTTCAATGGCAAGCTATTCTGTATACGGTGCACTACTTTTGACCAGAGCCCAATGGTCCCTGGTTAAAAGAAGTGTACTATATAGGAAATAGGGTGCCATTTGGGACAAAGCCTAGGTGTTTTATAAATTGTATTTAGGAGCTATTTTAAATGTAAAACCCTCCACCCTACCCTACTCATGATTGTGCCCAGGCAGCATAACGGTTTTGCTATTTAAACTACCAGACGTTGGCTCGTTGGTTGTAAGTAAAATGTTCTCAATCTAGTATAATTAGGGTGGAGTGGAGTTAGCGTTATTTTACTCTCATAAAACAGGCCTAAAACAAGGAACCTAATAGAGGGGTCCATAGCACTGGTAGATTTACAATAGACAGAAACACAAAGTAGCTGCTTCTAACTTAGCAAGGTTGAGGTTATATAGAGTAAGGTTAGAGTTGCTAGTTATTTGGAGGACTACCCCACCCCTCTCTTTCTAACCCTCGTTCTGTCTTGTCTATTCCTCTACCCTTTTCCTGCTATACAGTATGCTATCTGTATCCCAGGGTTAGGTAGCTAGACTAGCATGTCTTGGATTGTTTGATGAGAGGATATTTGTTCATACCATATCTAGGGTTGCAAAATTCTGGTAACTTTCCCCAAATTCACAGGTTTTCAAAATCACAGTTGGAAGACTGCCGATTCCGGCAGGAATAAGCAGGGAATCCAGGAGTCCTGCTTAGAAGATTCCCATATGTCCTGCTTATTCCCTACTGATTCCACAAATCTTCCAACCAACCAGAATTTCTGGGAAACCTGTGAATTTTGGGAAGGTTACTGATGTCTGATGTTCAAAGCCCCTACACAGATGGAGAGGTTCATCCTGGTTCCACTCGACATTCCATACTGTTCTTCCTGTTTATGGTCAAAAAAGTCTGGTATCTTTCCCAAAATTCCTTGGAAGATCCAGGAATCCGGAATTCTGCAACCATACTCCTGTAGTCTGGGCTAAGGCCCTGCTTGGTGCAGTGACCTCACTGCCCTTATGTTCTCTCTCTCTCTCTCTCTCTCTCTCTCTCTCTCTCTCTCTCTCTCGCTCTCTCTCCATGATTTCACACTCTCACATCACCAACCATGGGCGTTAGTTCGTTATCTCTGTGTTCAGCTAAGGTCATCGTGAGTCATGACGAGGCACCAGAGCTATCTCGCTCTCTGTCTGGTGTCGCTTTTCTCTTTTACAGCAGTTTTCCCTCTATCCCTTTCCTCCTTTATCCCTGTCTTTTTGTTGATTTAAAATGTTCTTAGTATCGCAAATACACCTGTTCTGTATTTTTCTGATTATCAAGGGATGTTATACCTATTTAAAGGGAAATATTTGTTTCAGGTTAAGCCACTACAATACCATGTTTATCTACACTACAGGTTCAACCCTCTAGTTTCCCCATCATTTTATTTTATGTTCATATTATGTTAGGTTCATATTTACCCACCAGCCATCCATATCATTGATCAAAATCAGAAGTTCAGTCTGTGCAGATATTTTTCTTCTAAATGTACATTAAATTACTGAGGTTGTATGATTTCACTTTTTTCTTTTTATTTGTACATTTTATATGAAAATATTCAACCAAATGTGTATTTTCTAAGATGCTAATAATAAGTATGGAAAACTAGAGTTTGTAATATGGCAAGTGGATGATGATTGTAGCCGTGAGATAGTTTTCCTCTCATAAGATCATAACAGTGACATGGGACGCTTGGGGTTGTCAGAATCTTGTGTGTCTAGAATTTGTTTGTAAGCCCTTGAGTCCCATTTAGCTCCATTTTCGCTCGCTCCGATAAAGAAGAAAAACACCTTCACGGAGACACTCCGAGTGCACACTTTCTTTATTTTTTAAGGGGGTGCACACTTGTGTAAATAGAACTGAGCCTGTGTCCCAAATGGCACCCTATTCCCTTTATAGTGCACTACTTTTGACCAGGGCCCATAAGTAGTGCACTATGTAGGGAATAAGGTGCAATTTGGGATGGAACCTCACATTCACATTTTTTATCTCCCTTACGGAAAATCACTTGATTCCACATGTGATGATATTTCACATGTGGATTTTCACATGTGAAATCATGTGAAACCATGTGTTTTTCTAACACTTCACAAGAGGCTGTTCGCCTACTAATCTCACTACAACCCCCTCCATGTCTCTGATCACTACTTTGTTTCCTTTTCTCTCCATCTCTCCTCCAACCCTACCTACTCTGCCCCTACCCAGATGGTCATGCGCCACCGCAATCTTCACCGTCTCTCCCACTACTCTCTCCTCTTTTATCCTATCCTCTCTCCCTTCTGCTATATCCTTCTCCCTCCCTCCTGTATCCTGACTCTGCCTCTTCCACCCTACTCTCCTCCCTTTCCGCATTCTTTGACTGTCCCCTTTCCTCCCGGCCGGCTCAACCTTCCCCTCACGCTCCTTGGCTGAGTGACTCACTGCTTGCTAACAGAACAGCGCCCGTTTTCCCAAAAGCATCTTAAGGCTAAGTTCATCGTTAGAACAGTAGTAGGAGCATCGTTTAAATCTCTGAGCTGTTTCCCGAAATTATTGTTATTAACGTTGCACTTGAAAACACTCGTAATCTAACGCCTGCCTCAGACCACTCGTATAACAGCTAAGTGCATCGTTAGATGCTTTTTTGCCCTCCTGCGTCACTTAATACACAAAAGATCTCCGCTAAACATAGAATCACATGGTTTATCCGTCTCTATGTGATCACCGATAACTTCACGTTGGCTACAAATACAAAGTTGCCAATGTCCTTGCAATTGATACAAACAAGCGACATATAAAAAAAATCTGACTGCATTAAAATATAAACAGTAGGCTATATGCCTATTTCAATCATATTGAAATACATTCCATTTTCAAGCAATTTAGTTATATTTTGCTACTTGTAGGCTACTGTCTGTATTTGTCTCAATATATTTCATGATGTGTAGCCTAACGTGTGCGCAATGATGTGCCAAATCTGTGATTTTGTGCATTTTCATTGGGTAAGCATTATAATAAGCCGCCTCAATATTTGCAGCCATAGGTGGTAATATCTCTCTAGGAGCTGACCCGTCATCAGTATTGTGAAATAATTATAATGTTAAAGAAAGATTTGAATGGAGAAAGCTGACCCGAGAGCAGCGCAGCCTTTCTTTCGATCCTATCAGTATCGACACATGCCTTAACGACGCACTTAGCAACCGTTCTTCCTGCGTGGTGTTTTGGGAAACATGTTACATATTCGGCCGTTGTAGGAAAGATGCATTGTTAAAACTCTCGTGAGCCTAAGTTCCATCGCTATCGGGAAACCGGCCCAGGGATGTGGGCAGCTGAGCGGAAATGGAGGAAAACTAAACTTTTGGAGGACCTATCATCCTTCCACTCCCTCCTCTCAACCTTCTCTTCCTCTTTATCCGCTGCTAAAGCCGCTTTCTATCACTCCTACCCCTTCCTCCTCCCTCTATGCGGACGACTTTGAAAAAAAGGTTGACAACATCCGCTCCTCATTCACTCAGCCTACTGAGCCCACTGATCCCACTCACACAGAACTACCCTACACCTTAACCTCTTTCTGCCCTCTCTCTCCAGATGAAATTCTGCGACAAGTGATGTCCAGCTGCCCAACAACCTGCCCACTTGACCCTATCCCCCTCCTCCCTTCTCCAGACGGTCTCTGGAGACCTTCTCCCGTTCCTCACTTCCCTCATCAACTCATCCCTGACCACTGGCTACATCCCCTCTGACTTCAAGATGGCCAAAGTTCCTCCCCTCAAGAAACCAACACTCGACCCCTCTGATGTCAAAACTACAGATCGGTATCCCTTCTTTCTGTCTCTGACCAAAACACTTGAGTGTGCTGTCTCTCTCATTATCTCTCTCAGAACGATCTTCTTGACCCTAACCAGTCAGGCTTCAAGGTGGCTCACTCAACTGAGACCGCTCTCCGCTGTGTCACAGAGGGTCTCCGC